GAGATGTGGGATCTCTTTTGCCCTAGGGATTTGGTGGTGGGAAGAAGGCTGTGATTTGGGGATCGATGGCTCTGATACCAATGAAAGAACGAGAGAAGGATTGATTTTTGGGAACTCCGATAGAGATTTTCTCAGTTGAGATGATTCAGAGGTGAGGTAATCCTCTCTATATATAGGCTTTCTACCTCCTTCTCCGTCCCCAAATAGCCGCCTGATTTTTCTCCGCTATCCGCGTTCTCCTCAGATTTCTCCGTAACGCCTGATCCTGATTAGAGAATATCCCACAGAATATGAGATATTCCCTAACAACCGGATCAATTTAACGGTCGGGTAACATATTTGGCCCATGAGGTCAAAAACACTTACACCCTTTTGTAAGAATGTTTGCGAGTTGGCATCCCGTTGGAACATAAGACATGCATACTAGTCCCTCCTCCAGTTTCTCCTTGATAAAATGCCCATCAATCTCAATATGCTTAGTCCTACCATGTTGTATAGGATTATGAGCAATGTTGATAGCAAAATTGTTATCACAGTAGAGCTTCACATGACCTTCCCACTTGACTTGCAAGTTGTCTAGGATAATCTTCAGCCACGGTATCTCGCACAAACCTTGAGCAATTGCTCTAAATTCTGATTCTGCAGATGATCTAGTCATAACATTCTGTTTTTTACTCCTCCAGGTTACAAGATTACCTCCAAGGAAAGTACAATACCTAGTAGTTGATCTTTATCTACTATAGATCCTCGGTAATTTGCATCAGTGTAGACTTCAAGGGCAAGATCCTTTTGTCTTTTGAACAAGATTCCTTTCCCTAGATTTCCTTTCAAATACTGCAACACTCTATACACGGCTTGTAGATGTGACTGCCTCAGATCATGCATGACCTGACTGATTACACTACTTACAGAGTGTGCTATGTCTGGTCGAGTATGTGCAAGGTAGATGAGTCTCCCTACAAGCCTTTGGTACATCTTTCTATCAACAGGTGGTTCTTCCTTGGCTTCTCCGAGTTTTTGATTTGCTTCAATTGGTGTAGATACTGGCTTACATCCTATTTTTCCTGTCTCCTTTAACAAATCAACCACATATTTTTGCTAGGATATGAAAATCTCCCTTTTGGAATTTGCCACCTCAATACCTAGGAAGTACTTCAATCTCCAAAACTCCTTTATCTCTAATTCTTTGACCAAACGTTATTTCAGTTCTAGTTTTTCCTTTTTATCATTCCCAGTGATGATGATGTCATCCACATACACTAGAAGTGCAGTCACTCCCCCTGCAGACGAGTGTTTTATAAAAAGAGTATGATCGATCACCTTGACTTTGTTGGTATCCAGATGCTTTCATAACTTTAGTAAACCTTCCAAACCATGCTTTTGGTGATTGTTTTAGTCCATACAGAGTCGTCTTCAACCTGCAAACTTTATTTCGTGTCTCTTCTTCAAAGCTTGGAGGAACATCCATGTAAATTTTTTAATCTAGATCTCCATGAAGAAATGCATTTTTCACATCGTTTTGTAATAGCTGCCAATCAAAGTGTGCTATTAGGGATAGCAGATTCCTAAGTGTGTTCATTTTGCCACATGAGCAAATGTCTCCTGATAGTCTACCACATAAGTCTGAGTGTATCCCTTAGCCACCAACCTTGCTTTATATCTCTCAAGAGATCCATCAGCTTTATACTTAGGTGTAAAAATCCACTTACAACTAACTATGTTCTTCCCTTTTGGTCTATCCACAGTCTCCCATGTTTGATTCTTTATTGGTGCAGCCATTTCCTCTTTCATGGCATTTCTTCATTCTCTTTTTGACAATGCCTCAGACATGGTAGTGGAGATAAAAATGGTGTTGATGCTAGTAATGAATTGTTTGTGGTTCGATGACATGTTTTAAGTGACAAATAGTACGACAGTGGGTACATGGGCCCTTTGGTGCATTTTCTACTGCCTTTTCTGATAGCTACAGGAAGGTGAGAGTCATCACTAAGTGTTTCAACCGATTGTGTGTTTAGGGGTGGATCTGATCTTATCTTGGGGTTCTCGTCAAAGACCGGGTTGGATTCTTAAACTTGTTGCAGGTCCGGAACAGTCCTTCTAGAGTATACCTGTGAAAATCTTGGATCATTATGAATAACACGAACTAGAATTTGAGAAGATACAGTTTTTGGGACGTGGATTGGATTCGGGTTAGGTTCTATAGGGCTAGGAACTGATGGTGGACTCTGAATTGATGACGAAACACTTTGTTGGATGACTGGGAAGGTCAAGAGTACAAGTACTATCTTCTAGTACTGGTGTAGACTCCCCCCACTTTGTGAAGTATGGTTCATGTTCTATGAATGTTACATCAGCTAAAAATATAAAATTTTCTGAAAAGAGGGTTATATCACTTGTAGCATTTTTGTGTAGAAGAGCAATCAAGGAAAACACACATGTTTGCTCGGAGATCTAACTTTCCTCTTTGATGGCTATGAATATGAACAAAAGTTGTACAACCAAACACCCTAGGAGTGAGTCTATTATAACTTCAAAACTCTGGATAAAAGTTATTAAGGACTTGCATGGGACTTTTATTAGATAAAACCCAAGAAGAAAATGTATTGATCATATGAGTGGCAGTGAGGACGGCCTCCCCCCAATAAGATTTTGGAACATTTCCCTAGAAAAGTAAGGCCCTATATTGAGTAAGTGCTCATTTTTGTGCTCAGTCACCCCGTTTTGTTGGGGTGTGTCAACACAAGAAGAGTCATGAATAATCCATTGTTTTTGAAAGTACAAATTCAATGTGTGGTTGAAGTAATCCCTAACATTGTCTGACCTAAAGTTCTTAATTTTGACCCCAAATTGATTGTGAATCATAGAAAGAAAAGTAAGGATAACAGTTCTAACATCAGATTTTGTTTAAGTAAAGCCAAGTAATCCGAGTACAATCATCTATCAAGGTAACAAATCATTTAGCACTAGAAATATTCGAAACAGGAGAGGGGCCCCATATGTCACTATGAATCAAATGAAAAGGTTTAGAACTTCTTTTATTATTGATAGGAAAAGATACACGAGTGTGTCTTGCGAACTCACAAATTTCACAATGAAAACCCAAAATGTCTAATCCTTTGAACAAATATGGAAACATGAATTTAAGAACTCTAAACGTTGGATGACTAAGGCGAAGATGATGGAGCCAAATGGTCTCTTTATTGGAAGAACTAAACAAGACCCAGACAAATTGTTCATAATACTCCAAGAAGAATCAATGTGATAGAGGTCATTCCTTTCCTTAGCAAGTCCAATCTTCCTTCCGAGTCCTAATCCTGCAAAACATAGTAAGAAGGAGAAAAATTGCAAAGCATTTCAGATCATGAGTAAGTTTTTGGATTGACACAAGGTTAGTTGATAATTTTGACACAGGAAGTATATTTTTAAGAGTGAGAGTAGGTGTAACCATCATATTTCCTACACCTGCAATAGTGGCCAAGGATCCATTTGCCACTATGATCTTCCTATTACTAGGGTAGGAGTTACAAGTATGGAAAAGACATGATGAATGGGTCATGTGGTCTGTAGCTCCAGAGTCAATTATCCATGAATTGGTATAGGTTATATTTGAGACATTCATGCAAGTAGAGAATGAGGATTTACCTGAGAGAGCCAGTGAACAAGTCCCAGATTGTTTTTCAAGGGAACCTAACAAGTTTTTTAGTTTTTCTATCTCCTCACTATTGAATCCGCCATTATCCACTTTTTCTTCCTCTTTGGACTGTTCTGTCGAGTGAGCTTGAGGTTGAGATCTTTGATGGAACCTTGGTTGTCCTCCACAGTTTCCCCACTCATAACTTGGTGGCTTACCATTTAATTTCTAGCATTTTTCCTTAGTATGTCTCGGTTTTTTGCAACATGTACACCACTGGCTGTGTTTGTTATCCTTCCACTGAGTATTTTTGTC